CGTCGAGTTTATAGTGAATGACATCTCGTATACGGTTTACGCCAACAAAGAAGTCATTGTTTCCGCCGGTAACTATTACAGTGCAACCTCTTTATAAGAAATGTTTAAAATAAGTTTTAAATACGGTTAATGTTAACTCAAATGCCCGTTTCTTATATAGAGATTGAACTGTATTATAAACATTAACATTCACGTCATATTATGCATATATTTAGGGCCAATAAATAGTCCACAACTACTGATGCTATCGGGTTTGGGCCACAAACAACATTTGCAAAGTCTGGGAATACCTGTAGTTATTGATCTACCGGTTGGTGACAATTATCAAAATCAACCAGCTGTCTCAATTACTGTACCAATAAAAGCGCAATATAGTACCCAATCGTTTAACCCGCAATTAAATGTGCAGCAATTGAACATGCTATATTATAACTACACCAACTATTTAGCGGTCAATCCAGATGTTACGCTATATCACAGCACGCGCACCAATCGTGACAAACAATGGCCAAACATCATGACCATCATGATTCCCGTAAACAATATGCTACTAATTTTAACCATTTTGGTTCGGTTTAATAGCCGGGGAACTATTAGACTACAGTCAAACAACCCTTTAATCCTACCTATAATTGATGCTAATTGGCTGTCTGACCATGGTGATAGTCAGGCCTTATTGGAGGCAACAGCCATTATATTTTATCTACTTAAAAAATCTGGTATAAAAAATTATGTAGAGATATCCGACTTATTCACACCCATAGGGTGTCCGACGTGTCCCGGAAAGTATGCCTATCAATGTCTGGAGGGTTTACAGTGTTATATGCGGTATAAAAGTGAGACTTCAGGCCATCCGGGAGGTAGTTGTCGTATGGGAGCCATAGAGAGGCCAGACGTTGTGGTCGACCCTCTGTTAAGGGTTAAGGGTATTAATAGACTCCGTGTATGCGATTCGTCCGTATTTCCAGTGGTGCCGAACACCGCCACCGCTTCGGCCGCCGTATTAGTCGGCTATAAATGTGTCCAATATATTGAAAATGAATATAAACTATTATAAATATTAATTAAATTATTTGTTTGATTATTTGTGAAATTATTTAATTATTTGTAAATTAATATTGAATATAAATTAAGTTAGCATTATTAATTGTAGTATTACTAATCCATATATAAACAAGATTTATATAGAATACAATTTTCTAAACAATTAATACATAATTATAATATAGATATATTAAAAGTTAACAAAACGTAAAAGCACCATGCAAATTTCATTTAATCATCCGCATTCATTGACACATTGGCGGCCACATGTCCGCCATCAGACACTAGACTGGTTCCCGTCACAAACGACGACTCGTCTGACGCCAGGTATAGGATATTGCGGGCGATGTCGAGTCCCTCTCCCGCCCTCCCGACCGGGTATTTGCTGCCAAACATGTCGTACACCTGATTGGCCACCTCTTTGGACGCCCCCTGAGCCTCGAGTACGTTCGTGCGGATCACTCCCGGACTTTACGTGTAGTTATTATTTGTAAATTGAAAATAATTTCACAATTAATTTATTAATTGTTATTTTATTTTAATAGCAATCAAAGCCATACTTAACAGTATTGACGCGAATGCTTTTCGGCCCCAATTCAACGGCAATACATTTGCCAAACATATCGATCGCTGCCTTTGACATACAATACGGCGATCCGTTTAACACCTAGTTTGTAAATTATAATTTTACACATAAATTTTACATTAAAAATAACTGTATATAAATTTAGTATAATTATTGCTTAGATTCTAACATATTTTGTAAAATCATAAATTAGTTACTCTTGAAAACAAAAACATAAAACTTACAGTAAGTTTGGCCGCAATACTGGAAACGTTGACAATATTTCCTTTAGTTTTCTCCAAATGTTTGACACAAATATGTGTCAAATAGACCATTGAATTAAGATTAGTGTTTAAAACAGATTTGAAGGCATCCATGAATTTGTCGTCGTATACGGCGCTCATAACATAGGCGCCGGCGTTATTGACCAATACATCCAATCGGCCAAAAGTGTCCACAGTTTCGGTCACTAAACGTTGTAAATCTTCCTCTTTGGTCACGTCTGCCAACACTTGCAATACGGCTGAAACACCGGTCGGCGACACATCTATGCACTGTTTGGCCACTTCGGCCACTTTGTCGCCATTACGTCCGGTCACCACTACTTTGGCGCCCGATTTGGCGAACAGTACGGCTGTGGCGGCGCCGATGCCTGAGCTCGAGCCCGTCACCAGCGCTACTCTACCACTGAAATCAAACTTTAGGGACATTTTGCGAGATTTACTCAGTTTTCTATCCTTTTCTTTTCAACACCTGTTGTGTTAAATGAGAGTAATATTAATTTCACCAAAAACTGTGTTAAAAATGGCGACTATTGTATGGATTTATAATAAATATAAAGAAATTGTGTTAAAAATTGAATAAACAAATGATTTGCAGAAACAAAATAATGTTTTCTAGAAATTTCTATTAACTGGTAAGAACTGGAATTAACATGCTCAAGTGAAATGTAAAAATCATTTAAATTAAGTGTTTTGTTTTATAACAATTTTATGATTTTAAACATCAAGTGAAACCTTTAATACAAATGTTATACTTATTTGTATCAGTATTTAATATACAATACCTGTGGTATTTAGTAGCTTCTATTGCACTCGTTTTGATCACGTACAATTATTAGTAAGTACAGTATTTCATTAACACTAAAAATTTCATTCATAAGTAGTAAAATATTTTATTTAATGTTTATAAAAATATATTTTGATCTATTTACTTATAATATTTAAAATTATTTTATAATTTCCTATTAATTAAGTCTACATTAAACTGAGAGCAACCAAGAAATAGGAGAGAGAGAGACACAAATCGACATTTGGCTCAAACTCTTCGCTCGATTCGCTTTAACCGTCGATTCACACGAAGTGATGANGAGAGAGAGAGAGAGAGAGAGAGAGAGAGTTGTATTGTATTTGATTTTAAAATTAACAGGGTTAAACACTAACCACTTTCAGATAATAAAAATGCTTTTTAATTTTGAAATAGCTTAATAATAACTTAATGTATTTAATTACAGCAAATGGTATCGTATATTCAGTTATTGGGCGGACAATCATATCTCGGGTCCGAAACCTCTGCCATATTTTGGCAATTCTTTAAGTCTTATACTAAGACCGAAGCCATTGGTTGAGTTGGAGTGGTATAAGACTTACGGTCCAGTCTATGGGTAATGCATTTGAAATAAACTTATGGTTAAAATAAATATCTTAAATATGATTAAAAATTAAAAATAAAAACAATAAAAAAATGCACCATGCGAGATGCTATAGGTTAACCTTGATTCTGGGCATGTATCAAATTTTCAAGTTATATTTAGGATATTTTAATATTTTGAAATATATAAACAGTTTAAATAAGAAAGTATTATTTAAATAATTAAATTCTGTATTTTTCATAAATTAATTATGGTAAAAATATCACCTAATCTTATAGCAAATATAATTGTGGAAAACCGGAGCTATCAGTGGCGGACCCGGCGCTCATCAAACAGATTATGGTAAAAGACTTTCACAAATTCCATAACAGAGGCGTCACTCGAGTGGACGAAGGGATGAACACAAACCTCTTCAGCTCCAGAGACGAGCACTGGAAGCGGATCCGAGCCATAGCCAGTCCCACATTCACGTCAAGCAAACTCAAAGACATGTATCCAGTGGTCAACGAGTGTTGCCGACACTTCTTGGCCGCACTCGACAGAGACGTGTCCACCGGTCGGACGGAAGTGGAGTTAAAGGCATTGATGGCCGCCTACACCATAGACGTGATGGGCAGTTGTGTCTTCTCCGCTCACACCGACTCCTATACCGATCCAAACAATCCGTTCACTACTAAAACAAATTGGATTTTGAAAAATTTTAGCAATTTATCGACCGATATATTGACTAACATTTTACCGACTTTTGTGACTAAATGGTTGGCGACCAACAGCTTATCAAATATGATGTTTTTCATGCACCTGTCCGGGCGTTTGGTGTCTGAGCGCAAACATGCGGTCAACAAACCACACGATTTGTTACAGTATTTTATAGATATGAAGAGAGAGAGGACACGACGACTACGGTTGAGGACTCTGTGGCCGCCGATGCTATGATTGGACACCACTTGAAGGCAGGCGTCGACGAACTGATGGCAGAGAAGCGGGCGTTGAGTGGAGTCGTGGCCAAGAAGTTGACCGAAGAGGAAGTGATCGCTCAGTCCGTACTGTTTTTCTTCGGCGGCGTTGAGTCGACGGCCAGTACTCTGTCGTTCTGTACGTATGAATTGGCACTCAATCCCGATATTCAAGACGAGTTGGTGGCGGAGACCAGTGAGGCGTTCAATGAAGACACGGGTGACATAGACTACGACACCGTTTCCCGACTCCCACTACTCGATGCCGTTATATCGGAAACTCTTCGCAAATACCCGCCGGGCGTTAATCCCATGCGTGAGACCGCGGAGGACGTGATGCTCACAACACCCAACGGATCAGCGTTTATGATCAAAAAGGGAGTCAACATAGATATACCGGTGTATGCCATACATCACTCGCCCGACAACTATCCCGATCCCGAGGCCTTCAAACCCGACCGCTTTTTGCCCCAAAATCGTCATCACATCAAACCCTATACATACCTGCCATTCGGCGCCGGACCCCGTCATTGCATTGGTATGCGTTTTGGTTTGCTTGAGATCAAACTAGCCATGGTCAAATTGCTGCGACAGTTCCGTTTCTATGGGTTGCCCACCACTGATGCGCCCGTTGTGTTCAGTAAGGGTCGAGTGTTTTTACACTCCGATAGGCTTCGAGTGGGAGTCGCGAAGCGTTAGTCGCAAAATCATTTTAAAATTACAACTTTTTAGTTATTTTAATGTTTAATAAATTGGTTATTAATATTATAAAATTTAGTAATTTACTTTTAATGTTTAGCAATTAAGTTTAATGGACCCCAACTCCGGATTCACAGCACTCGGTGTCGTGTTTTATATATAAAATTAATTATTGTACTAGTCTTTAAATAAATTAGATCATGATTAAAACTTTATTCTAGATCAATATATAATATTATTTCATATTTTGTCATTAATTGCAAAATCAATTTTTATTAAATATATACTTTGCATAATAACATGATATTAGTCACGAAATAAGTCAATTATGAAAAATACATTATGAAATTAAACTATCAATACTTATAAATAAATATTGACTATTTAACACTTTATTTGTATCATCTGTGCATTAATGCACTGGGTCATTTAAAACTGTTGGCTAAAATCAGGTATTAAAGTCAGTGTTAAAAAATTCCAGCTATGCCTCAACCAAACGTTTGAGTAGGTTGTGGATTAATCAAAACTTCATTTGCATATCTGATGTCCGAGCAGTGAATATTCAAAGAGAGGTCACTTTTCAAAAACGCCCACGATATCAAACGTGTAACTTTTTAAACCCTTAACATTTCAGTGCATTTGCAAAACCATAACAAAAACACTAGCGCCGCNTCAGTGCATTTGCAAAACCATAACAAAAACACTAGCGCCGCCACATATCGACTACCCATTTCTCACACTATTTCTCGACTTCCCTGTATGGACTTGATTTGACATCATTTCAGTTGTTGTAAGATTCAATGGATAGATAGCGCGCGCGTCAAGACTTACACCAATTATATGGCTGTCGGAAATCGTCCCAATTATTAACACAGTGTATGCTATGGATTAGTGCTATGTGTGAAGTGTATGAGTGGAGTGTATGAGTAAAGTGTACGTGTTAGCATGGGGCATGCGTTGTAAATAATAATAAAATTTGTTGTTATCATTGTATGCTTAGATGAAAATGTCCATAAATTATGCGATATATAATATTGACCCCATATTCTTATTTAAATAGGAATATGGGGTTATGTCTAAACGTTATTTATAATTACATATACACCCCAAACAACTAAAATAAAGCATATGTAAACAACAATTCAATAATAGTGTCCTTTTAATTGTGGTTAAAAATGAGCTGCAAAACTGTGTTAAGTCGACAACAACTCGAAGACATGCTGACTGTTGACAGCGCTGATGACAATACAAGCAGTGAAGAAGTCGATGAAATACAGGAGTCATCACATTCATCAAACACTGAGCAAAGCGCTGAAAAGCTATGCAATGATAATGACAATGACTTTCAAACATCTGATATCATGTCATCTTAAACATCAACTATTACATCGAATAAAACCAAACCGTAAAACATTTTGAGAGAAAAATATGGACCAAAAATAAGTAAAAAACGCGCCGATAATTACTACACTCTATTCAACAGTTTTATTAAAATTGTAATAAATAATAACTGAATTTAATGTAAATTATATTTATTAGCCGTTCGATTTGTTTTTAATGATTTCTTGTAATTAATTAAAAATAAATTCAATATTTTTCATAAAAAATAAAACGTATTTTGAATGACTAAATATTTGTATAATTTCTTAAATTATTTGAATAAAATTTTTACTTAATAATAACATATTTTAATTAAACTCAAGAAGTAATACAAATAAACACAATTTGTTTTACAAATAATAAGACTCAAAAATTGTGTGGATTTGAAGACAAAGTTCATAAAATTGAGTACAAATATATTTAAAAAATTCACCATATTTGCCAGTCATTGATATATCAAAGCAATGATAACACAATTGCATACAATTTAAGCATAATATCTGTTCAATTTTTATCATTCAATGCAATGCTTTAAGTCTACAAAACGTATGGTCAACATTGGCCGCCGCCGGTGTCAGTAAAT